GGAATCTGTGTCTCAGATCACACGGCCCTGACCTGTGGGGTGCCTCAGCAGACAAGTGAAGTGTGTCTAAAGGTGATTTATCGCACAATGAGCTGATGTTTCTCACACAAATAGAATACCTGTACATGAGTGGGTGTCACCTGGGCGGGTGTCACCTGTACCTGGGCGGGTGTCACTATTATCTGAGCTGTACTGTACTTGAAATGGACATCTCAGTTCCATGGGACAAATAAGATGAGATGAGATAAGATCACACCTCGTTGGCGTGATGACAAATGTGCTCCTGGTCATAGTCGCCAAACATGACTCACGTTTCCTTTTGTTTATTTGAGAGTTTTCTTATGTTCTTCGACCTCATTTCACAACAATAGGCATTGTCATAGGCTGAAGAACGGGTTAAAATAAGTAAATAACTGTATGTAACATTTTGATTTGAAATGATGACATAACTGTCCTCAGATACAAGATGAACATGTTCAAACAATTAGAGCTTTTACTGAATACAATTCTAAAGATGATTTATTCTTAATTACACTGGGCATGATGGACAAGTTGTTTATATTATAATTTGGTGTTATGGTTCTCAAGACAATTATCCAATCAGAAATCAGAATGAGCCTGATAAAACCATGGAATTCAGCAGCAGCATCTTCTCAACCTGCCGAAGTTTCCCAGGAGGAACAGGACTCTAACCACAGCTTCATGACGCTTACAGACGACTGGATGAAACTGTTGATCTGCTGAACGGAACACTACAAACTACAATGACACCTGTTGTTTTTTTGTTTTTTTTAAGGCAATTTATAAAAGGAAAAAAGAAAGAATACAATGACATTTAGAAGAAAACCAGGGCATTTTCTCAGTTTTCAGAGATTTTGTCAGAGTTACTATCGCCAACGGAGCTCGCAGGAAGTCGTCATCCACATGTTTCCAAATGTCTTCCAGTTTGTGATGTAAGCATGAACAGAGCCCATAGGCTCTCTACGGGTGCACTCACACTAGGACTTTAGAACCTTTCCGAGGGACGGATCGACCCTAAAGCGCGGTACATTTGTCCAGTGTGAGCACAGTCGACCCGTGCTCAGGAACAGCACAAATGGGACTTTGGCTCGTTTGGAGGAGGTGGACCAGAGCACGACATGGTTGCTCATGTCACACGCACAACTTTACTATACGAGCTCTGTCAGGTGCATTGATGTTACTCAAGGAAAACAGTGAACAAAGTCTGCTTCAAAACACACAGTGAAGTGTGACAGACAGAAGTTTCGCTGCCTTTTGTCTCCAGCTGTCCTCACTGCTCCACGCTGTTTTTATATCCATAAACTCACGGAGGAGCGTCTATCATAAAAGAATGCACATCAGCCTCACTATTTAATAGATATTTCTGCCACTAATAGATATTTTCCCACTCCCCACTTCAGCTCATCTGTTTCTTCTGGTGAAACACTTTTCATGTGTTTCATTTGCACACAGCTGATGGATCAGATCCATGACCAGAGATGAACAAGGGCTTGGAGATCAGTGATTTTACCACTTCTTTAACAGATCTCCGGAGAAGTGAGCTCGCTCACTAATGCACGTTTTTCAAGGTATTTGTGAGTTAAACTTACAACTGTAATGAAATAAATGCTACAGGTTTGAATCTAATCCAGCTGCGCCCAGAGGCTCAGTGTAGTTCTGACGACGCTCGATGGAGGATTTATCCGGGTTGATGTAAAAAAAAACTTTTTTTAAAACGATGCTGTGTGCACGATCTTATTTTGTAAAACAGACGGAGGGAAATATTTGTTTCTCAGAATACCCGGCTACGTGTAAATGTAGTCTAAATGCAACGAAACACACTCGCTGTCAATCAAACCTGTTGCTAATGCTAATGGGAGCGACCTCGGGGAATGAAGGCGTCTGATTGGTCTGTTATTTATGTTCATATCTTGATTTAGGGACAAAATAGCAAAATGAAAAATGTGTCATGTGTCATGGATTAATACGAACATTTAAAATCAAAATGACGAGACTCACAGCAGCAGGAACAGAGAGAGGGACGACAAGTGAGTAATGGAAGTCAATGGGAGCGGGGGTCAGTAGGAGCTGGAGGAGCCTCCTGATGCACTTCATTTTGGAATGCGGTGGATAGCACTTTAGCTATGTCCATTCATATATACAGTCTATGGAAGTACCAATACAAGTAAAGCATGTTTCAGTCACATTTGCAGGAAAAGAGGGTGTGGAGTAAAGTCAATACTGAGAATGAGAAAAGCTTTCCCAGTATGAACCTGTGTTTTATCTAGGCAAGGCAAGTTTATTTGTACAGCACAATTCGTACACAACGTAATGTTAAGTCAAATTAAAAAGAGAGAGGGACATTTTTGGCATAAATGAGAGAGAAGAGTGCAGAATGAAAAGCTTTCATATACATATACATATACATATACATATACATATACATATACAGCTAAACAGAACCTTTTAGAGCCTGGATTTAAACAGAGTCAAAGTAGAGTCTGTCTCACATGTTCAGGAAAACTGTTTCAGGTTTTAGCTGTGTGAATCTGAAACACTGACTCCCTGTGTTTAGTCCTGACTCTGGGCACTGTTGTACAAGTTTTCAGCTTGTCCAAAAAAGGATGGAAGTAAAAGGCTGGAGACCAACTGGATGTCTTAATCAGGAGAAGTTTATTTAGATGTACATGGAGGATAAGTTGCAGGCCAGGTTAAGTTCTCTTACAGGCACCAGCAGGAGGTCGGTCCCTGAGCTCCTCAGAGTGTGAGATGGTTCATTATGACACTAACATGTCACAGATGGACTTTGGTGCTCGGCCATGGAGACACTTGTACAAGCAGAGCTGCTTTAAAGTCTATTCTCTGTCTAGTCTATGTACAGGTTATAGTGCGCAGAATGGACTCTTGTGAGTTTTAAGTCATGTTATAATGTTGTTAACTCCTCAAAAACAAACTCAGAGTTGTGTTTGTTTCTTTCACACCCGTCTGAGTAATGCTGCATAATGTGGCTGAATGTTATGAAGCAGTAGTTTTCCAGTGAACGGATCCATTTACCTTTTGTTCAGTAGAGATTGGCAATTCCAGATCTGAAATTCTCTAAATCAGGAGTGTACGGTCCAGGGGCCAGATCAGAAAACTCATGTCATATAAACCCCAAAAATAACAATAAGTTCAAATATTTGTGCAGAGAAACACAAATCTATTACAGAAATCTTTTTTAATTGATGAACTCTTTCTTTTACAAAATATTATAATATTATGAACAACCTGAAACTTTAAGAAAAATACAATTTCAACACAATGTTTTAACATGAACTTGTATGCATTTCATAGAATTTAGTCATGCTTTTCTTTTTGCTCCTGAAACTTGGCATCTTTTAGTCTGAAGAAGTGCATCAATATCAGGCTCCATGTCCTGAGGAGCTGCTGTCTTCAGAACGTCATTCAGGTGTTTGTGTGTTGTGTGTTTTAGTTTTGAGCGCAGCTTTGTTTTATTCATGTTCATTACTGAGAAAACCTGCTCACAAATGTAGTAACTGGGTCCGGTGAAGTGGTAACGGAGGGAAACAGGGGCAGATTTTTGACATTCAAATGTCTCTTATTCAGAAACTAGAGGGACTATTGAAATAAGTAAAGTATCAGAATGTAGGAAAGAGTTACACTCCAACAGGGTCAAGTTAAACCTGTGAGATTCTTTCAAGTTGCTGACAAAAAATTTAAAAACTCATGTCGGTAAATTTTTGAGTCATGAGATTTTTTATTAAGAAAGGTCATGGTAACGGAGGGAAAAGTAACCGAGGGAAAATTGTGCAAACAAGTAGAAGGTGCAGGATTTTACATCATTTGTCACTTTTTTCATCTGAATACTTGAATATTACTTCAAAATGAAAGGAAACTATTTCTATAAAATATGTCAGTCCTTCCAAGCAAATTTTTATCATTTTAAATATATATATTTTTTTAGAAAAATCATGTCCCTTCATCAACAGTTCAAAGATGGAATAACACAAGATATGATGAAATACATCCATTTATTTACATGATTTGCAGGTCTTTGAAATTTGGGAAATAATTTTTGTTCCATGTTTCATACATGGTCTGTTTAAAACATATGGAACTTTAGAACCAAAAATGGTCCAGAAAAAAGGTCAACAGTTTGATAAACTAGAGTACATATGTATCTGTTCAATACATTTTTATATCAGATGCATTAACTTGAATTTTTGGCCTTGTTGTTTACTTCTGCTTGATCAGGCGCAACTGCTTGATCAGGCGCAACTGTAAATGTATTATTTGTAGTTGCATGTCTGCGGCACATCAGAGGTTTTGACTGTGAATGGTGCGAAAAATTGTAAATTCTGTCTTCAGGTTTAAAAATATAATTAAAATACATCAGTAAAAAATCAGCCGAGGGCCAGATTAAAGGTCATGGAGGGCCGGATTTGGCCCCCGGGCTGTATGTTTGACACCCAAGCTCTAAATGATTTTAGTGAATGTGTACGGACATGACAAGGTGGAAGAGAGTGTTTTTTTTTCTGTTTGAGAGAAGAACTCAGCCTGTATGCCAGGGATTGCGCATTAAAGGTGTGTGAATGAAACAGAAACACAACCCCGGGTACAAGAACATAAATCAGAAGATTGTGTCATATTAGTTTCAGTTGTGATTGTAGTGCTTTTGTTTAAAAGTACAGTTCTTTTTAAAGCATGAGGTTATAAAATCTTCCAAGACCAAAACTCTCCATCTCACCCGTGTCTATATGTAACAAGGTTTGACACATTCCACCTCCGTCTTCTCAGAAAAAACATATGATTGTAATGAATGAGCCATTACACCGACAACAATAACAATAACTGGTCGTGTTGCATTTCTGGACTTTTTGTGGTAATTAAAGGTGGAACAGCCATTTCAACGTGCAGGGTGTCATTACATTTGTTATTTGTAATGATACCGTGAGCTTAAGGGAGTTCACTACAACCTCAGGGCGTATATAAGGAGCGTGCGCTGGACTCCTCACAGCTGCAGACTCTTCTGTTTTCTGGTGAGTTACAAAACATTATACTATTATTATTTTTCTGCATACAATACCAGTCAAAAGAAGCTTGGACACACCCTCTTGTTCCATGTTATTTTTTACTATTTTCTACATTTTAGACACAGAGAAAAAAATAATTTATGAAGCAATATATACGGAACTATTATTTCAAGACAAAACAAAGCTAATTCATTTTTTTAAATTTTATTTTGCAACATAATTTCATGTGTCTCGCTTCATTTTACGTCTTCTTTTGTAAATGTAAATGATGAATAAAAAAACTGAATGAAGAGGGTGTGTCCAAGAGTAAATCCTACATCACAGTACTGTCCTAGTATTCAGAGTAATCCAAATTTGTACTCCAGTAAGAGTAACGTGACTTCAGAATAATATTACTCAAGTAGATGTACAGAGTTGTTGTCCAAGATTGACTCAAGTAAGAGTAAAAATGTATTTGGGAAAAGTACTACACATGTAAGAGCTTAAAGGTTGCACAGAAGATTTTCCAAGGAATGAGAAATGCAGCGATTGTTTGTCCGTTTTTAAATGTTGCGCTCTGCTCCTTTTCCCCTTCTCTTCTTTCAGCGACGTCAAAAACTGACTTTCTTTTGCGGCGAACAGGTCGTGAATTCTTGTCTGCCATTAAAACAAAATTTGTGCAAAATTAAAGGAAGCTACAGTTCGAAAAATACACCAAGAGCCGCTGTGCTGGTTGAGTAAATGGCATCAGTGCGTGAGAGGCGAACATAAACCACGCAATGCCAGCGCGTCGGCAAGTCAGAAACATAGAAACGTAAGGAGTTTGATTGACAACCTAACAGCCAATAGATAAAGAGGGAGCCTTGTTATCTACTGACTGATGTTTATCTGCCCCCACCACGTCCACAATTGATGGATTTTCATTCTTTTTTTTTTTTTTTGGTCATCATAATTATAAGGCTGCTGCATGTCTGTAATGGTATTTTGAACTTTCATTGACAATTTGAAACAAACAAACAAACAAACAAAAAAATCCTCCGTACAACCTTTAAAGAGTAATAACTGTCAGGACGTTGTGAGAATTATTCTGTGTTTTTAATGTTTTATTTTAATCATGTTTATTCATCATGCGATATGGAAGTTCTTCAGTCTCCCTTGACATGTTGTTGTTCATCTGTGTGTTATAAAAGAGTCAATGTTTGGACTTTGAAGTGTCAGCGAGGAAGGGACGTGATGTATTCAATTTTGGTGCATACGAGATTGAAAAGGGGAGGGTCTGTTCTAGGGATGGGCATGATTAGTCGATGAATCGGTAATTGATCATTAAGAATTTCATCGATTATGTTTATTTTAATCGACAAACCGAATGTAGGTTGCTGTGACCATACAGGGGTCCGGACATGTCGCCGAAGCGCAAATGCGTATTTAATAGGGCCTGGTATCATTAAGAAGTTGCCGATACGATACATATCTCGATACAGTGCACTTTTGATTCGATATATATTTCAAATCGATTCGATACAGTTCAATAAAAAATAAAGGCTAAATCATGACTGTGATACTAAAAGTCTTTGTTAAACCACTTCTTGAGCAAAGTTCATATGAAACACAAACATTTGAATCCTCAAAATAGAGTGAAAATGTCAAATGTGTTGCATACAAACGGCAGGCCATCTGCGTGTAGCCGTTCTTGCACAGTCTGTATCATCCATGTTTATCAGCATGGATGGGAAAAAAGGCTCCTGAGTTAAAAAGGCTCATAAAATATGGATGTGGAGTAAATAGGTAATTGGCATTTAGCTGTTGCAAATCTGCAACGCCTGCCTGGAGAGGGATATAAGATTCTCGGAGATGTTTTAGTGGACAACTCTTTAAAACATTTTATTATTTTTTTTCACACAGGTTGAGCAGAAGAGAGCAACAAATCTACAACAATGAAGGCCTCGGTAAAGCATTATTACCTCTAAATCTACATCACACTGCAAATATTCAAATCTTAGTTAAGATGAACTGAATTAAGAAAGTTTGAGCATGATTTGTGTTGATCTACCAACAGAACAAGACTTTTTGTGCTTAAAATATGAAAATACATCTTGTTACACTTAAGGAAATCAACAAGTCTTTGCAAGAAACTAAAAAAACACTAAAAACACTTATTCCATTGGTAGATCGTTTTACTTATCAAGTTGAATCAACTCAAATAAAGTCAAATGTTCTGAATTGAAGTCATTTTAACTTACCTACTTTTTGCTTTTTGCAGTATTTGATGAACTCTTGTCTGTTTCCCAATAGGTGGTCGCTGTCCTGGTTGCAACGCTGCTCGTGGGTGAGTCCATAAAAAAAAAAAATCTACAAAATTCTTTTCTGGTTGAGGTTTGCCACACCTACTCGTCTCCGCTGAAACGTAACTGTATCTGGGACATGTACAGACGGAGAGCATTGCTTAGATTCCTAAAATGTTATTAAAATGATCTAATTTGAATTTATTCCAATCCAGGCCAACTTTATTTGCATGGGATATTTTCCAACACAAAGTCTCCAAAGTGCTGCACAGAATAGGCACAATATAAATGAACACATTGAATCAAATAAAGCATAAAATAAATAAATAAGCAAGTCAATAAAAAACATAAACAATTCTAAAATTAGCAAATAGAAAAATAGCAATAAAATCAATAAAAGACAGTCAGAGGAGCAGGCAGCTCTCACATTGTGTTAAAAGCCAGTGAGTGAAAGTGTGTTTTTAAATGAGACTTAAAAGAATCGACTGAAGGGGGCGCTCTTAACGTGAGGGGGGAGAGCGTTTCAAAGACTCCAAAAAACTTTTGGGCCTGGTCAAGCAGAAGTAAACAACAAGGCCAAAAATTCAAGTTAATGCATCTGATATAAAACTGTATTGAACAGATACATATGTACTCTAGTTTATGAAACTGTTGACCTTTTTTCTGTACCATTTTTGGTTCTAAAGTTCCATATGTTTTAAACAGACCATGTATGAAACATGGAACAAAAATTATTTCCCAATTTTCAAAGACCTGAAAATCATGTAAATAAATGGATGTATTTCATCATATCTTGTGTTATTCCATCTTTGAACTGTTGATGAAGGGACATGATTTTTCAAAAAAAATGTATTTAAAATGATAAAAATTAGCTTGGAAGGACTGACATATTTTATAGAAATAGTTTCCTTTCATTTTGAAGTAATATTAAAGTATTCAGAAGAAAAAAGTTGACAAATGATGTAAAATCCTGCACCTTCTACTTGTTTGTACAATTTTCCCTCCGTTACTTTTCCCTCCGTTACCATGACCTTTCTTAATAAAAAATCTCATGAGTCAAAAAGTAAGAGGTTTTTCAACCTAATCTTGTACCATATGGTAGAAAACTATATGAAGCAAATATTCAAACCAGTTTGTTAAGGATATGGAAGTGAGAACCAAGAGTTATCACTGTTTGGATTTATTGTCCAAAAAGTGCTGCATATTTCATTCCCTCCGTTACCGACATGAGTTTTTTTTTTATTTTTTGTCAACAACTTGAAAGAATATCACAGGTTTAACTTGACCCTGTTGGAGTGTAACTCTTTCCTACATTCTGATACTTTACTTATTTCAATAGTCCCTCTAGTTTCTGAATAAGAGACATTTGAATGTACAAAATCTGCCCCTGTTTCCCTCCGTTACCTCTTGACCAAACCCATTTGAGTCTCATTTTTGGGACAATAAGTTGGAATTGGCCCTCAGGAACAGTGAGGTCTGAGATGCTGGTCCATGAAAAACGCTTTAAAAACAAACAATAACATTTTAAAAATAAAATAAACAGGGTGTTAGGACATTGGAGCGTACAGCCTGATTTGTGTTGATTGTTTACAGAAATGTATTTTATAACATTAAAACAGAAAAATATTTGTGACACTCCAATGTTCATAAAAGTATAAAATTACAATTAAAGTTTCCAGATATACTTTAAATGGACACAATGGTAAATAATCCTTATTACAACATTTAAAGTAACATTTTTGTTAGATTGGAGAAAAATTAAATTTGATTTGATTGATTTCAGTGTGTTGGAGTTGACAATAACTGAATTATATCTGGAAATATGCCACTTTTTAGAAAAAAAGTTTTTGTTCAGAACCTGTTCCTCTGCGTTTCTGAATAGCTCAGACGTGACTCTACAAACACACAACTCCCATAAATGTAGACTGCTTTTGAAAGTCATTTTCAGGAACAGCAATTATCAATGTCAGATTTGAAATGTATTAAAGTCACATTTTACCGTTTTGTTTCATTCAGAGACGCAGGGAACCTTCTACCCCGGCTGCTGGACTCCGTGGTATGACAGAGACGACCCCTCAGGGACCGGAGACTGGGAGACTCTCTCTGATCAACGGAAACTAACTCCAAGAGGAATCTGTGACGAACCTCTGGACATACAGACGCGGACAGTACAAACACAGGCCCCGGTGTCTTCAACTGGAGACATCGCTGAGTGAGTGCACAAATATAACCCAGATCAAACAATCAAATCTAATACATGACAATATACTGAATATATATATACAACATATTCAAGTATGTCTCACTTTAATGTGCACAGGATCTATATTATATTATTTTGTGATCTATGTTCTAATGTAGTTTCTTCATCACAAACAGACCTGGAGTTGTGTTTTGTTTCATTCACACACATGTGAATGAAACAAAACACAACTCCAGGTCTGTACCAGAACCACTGACACAAGGAGCCACAACCTGCTGATCAACAGACAAAATGACAAACTAAACCAGGACTAAACCAGGACTAAACAAAGAGTAATCCAGGACTATATCAGAACTAAACCAGGTTTAAACCAGAACTAATCCAGGACTAAAACAAGACTATATCAAGACTCAACCAGGACTAAATCAAGACTAAATCAGGACTAAATCAAGACTAAATCAGGACTAAATCAAGACTAAACCAGGACTAAATAATGACTAAACCAGGACTAAACCAAGACTAAACCAGGACTAAATAAGGACTAAACCAGGACTAAACCAAGAATAAACCAGGACTAAACCAAGACTAAACCAGGACTAAATAAAGACTGAACCAGGACTGACTAAAGAGTAAACCTGGACTATATCAAGACTAAACCAGGACTAAAATAAAACTAAACCAAAATGAAACCAGGACTAAATCATAACAAAACCAGGACTAAATCAAGACTAGACCAGGACTAAACCAGGACTAAATTAAGATTAAATCATGTCTAAACCAGTATCTAACCAGGCTAAACTGGGATTATCTGCCTCAAAATGTCAAATCAGTATAAAACTATGTGTTCTTTACCTTCACACATAGTTGAGGGGCTGAACTATGTTGATATGAGTTATTATTGATAAAACTGTAATGTTCTTGTGCAGATCTGACCCTCTCAAAGGCTTCATCTGCGAGAACAGGAATCAAATCCAAACCAAGATGTGCAGTGACTACGAAGTGAGATACCTGTGTCCAGTGGAGTTCTGCCACCCCAAAGGTACGTCCACAACCCTCACACTGCAAAAAACTAATACAAAATGTAAAATATAAACACTTAAATCTATGAGAAAATGATTTAAAGGCAGTGAAATGATCTGTCCATGCAGTAAGATCATTTTATTTAACAAGTTCTCTTCAAATAAACGACCTCTAGACTAGTACTGAGTATTTACGGGCTGGAAATAAGTTTATGGATGCTAAGTTTTAGATAAACAGACTTAAAACCAGTCAATGATGAGTGTTCATGGCCTGATATTAAGTTATCAGATGCCAAATTCTAGATAAAATGCTTCAAATTCTGTTAAATTCTAAATAAAATGCTTTAAATTCGACCAAATTCTAGATAAACATACTTAAAAGGTTTATAATTAGTATGAATAGCCTGATAATAAGTTCAAAGATGCCAAATTCTAGATAAAATGCATTAATTTCTGCTAAATCCTAGAAAAAATGCTGTAAATTCTGTTAAATTCTAGATAAAATGCCCTAAATTCTGTTAAATTCTAGATAAAATGCTTGAAATTCTGCTTAATTCTAGATAAAGTGACTTAAATTCTGCAAATTTTTAGATAAATACTTTAAATTCTGCTAAATTCTAAATAAAATGCTTTAAATTCTGCCAAATTCTAGGTAAAATGCCCTAAATTCTGTTAAATTCTAGATAAAATGCTTTAAATTCTGCTAAGTTTTAGATAAATGCTTTAAATTCGGTCAGATTTTAGATAAACATACTTAAAAAAAAGTTTATGATTAGTATGAATGGCCTGATAATAAATTCAAAGATGCAAAATTCTAGAAATAACTACTTGAAATCAACCTTACATGGCAGTAGTTAGTTCATTCGTACTTTTGATTTTGTTTCTTATTATAAGTGCAAAGAGTTGTTGTTTTTCTTATCCTCAGTGTAGCACGATGTATTTTCATATTTTAAGTACAAAAAGTCTCGTTCCATTGGTAGATCATTTTACTTGTCAAGTAAAATCGACTCAAATCATGATAAATCTTTCTTAATTCAAGCAGGGGCGGCGCTACCATTAGGCAAAAGTACACAGCTGCCTAGGGCCCCCAAACCTGTAGGGGCCCCCAACCAATTGCCGAGGCCTCAGAGCAATTTGATTTTCTCTCAGTATGGCATTAAATGAGAGTAGTTTTACTTTCAAACCATAATCATAAGAAGAAAAAAAAAAGAATAATAATCATATGTAATGGATGTAAACAAAAATGTACTAGCCAAAAAATAAAACTACTTTCAGTTCTGGTTATCTAGTAGACTTCCTAACTAATAAGACCAGTTTCCAATCCAGCATAATTCAAATAAAGAGATGTGCATGTCTCAAGAACAATGGGGAAATACAGACAAGAAATATATTTAAAAAAAAATAAACAAAACTTTTGGGTGCATTAAAGTGAGGGCCCCAAACTCAAGTTCACCTAGAGCCTCAAACTGCTCACTCCACCACCGAATTCAAGTACATTTAACTTGACTAGATTTGAGTTTTTGCAGTGTATATAACTGATTCAGAACTCGGAAACAGTGTTGGGAAGGTGACTTTTAAAATGTAATCCCCTACAGATTACAGATTACATACCCCAAAATGTAGTTTGTAACATAATTACTTCAAGTGAGTAATGTAATCTGAATACTTTGGATTACTTGATTTGCTGTAGAGAAGCAAAGACGAGGAAATCTTCACGTAAGATGTTTTATCTGCTGAAAGACTTTACTGAACCAAATTAAAAATATTATTGATAGAAGACGAGGAAACACGTCCACGCAACATGGTTTAGTCCTGTTAAATCCTGGTTTAGACCTGTTTTAGTCCTGGTTTAGACCTGGTTTAGTCCTGGTTTAGTCCTGGTTTAGACCTGGTTTAGCCCTGGTTTAGTCCTGGTTTAGACCTGGTTTAGACCTGGTTTAGATCTGGTTTAGTCCTTTTTTAGTCCTGGTTTAGTCCTGGTTTAGACCTAGTTTAGACCTGGTTTAGACCTGGTTTAGTCCTGGTTTAGTCCTGGTTTAGACCTGGTTTAGATCTGGTTTAGTCCTTTTATAGTCCTGGTTTAGTCCTGGTTTAGACCTAGTTTAGACCTGGTTTAGACCTGGTTTAGTCCTGGTTTAGTCCTGGTTTAGACCTGGTTTAGATCTGGTTTAGTCCTTTTTTAGTCCTGGTTTAGTCCTGGTTTAGTCCTGGTTTAGACCTGGTTTATCTGGTTTAGTCTGTCTGTTTAGTCTGGTTTAGACCTGGTTTAGATCTGGTTTAGTCCTTTTTTAGTCCTGGTTTAGTCCTGGTTTAGACCTAGTTTAGACCTGGTCTAGTCCTGTTAAATCCTGGTTTAGTCCTGGTTTAGCCCAAAATGTGAAAACAGCAAAATACCACTGTGTAATCCATTTATTTCAACACTCATGGAAACAGTAACTGTAACTGAATACAGTTACTCATAATTTGTACTCTGATTACATAACTCTGGTACATGTAATCTGTTACTCCCAACACTGTCTACAAGTGCCACACATTTATGGAACTTCTGCAACAGACTTGGGAAGAACTTTCTGAAGAATATTTGATTTCTATTGTAAAAAGAAGGAGACACGAGTGTGTTCAGCTGTTCTATCTGCCAAACGTGGACACTTTCATCAATCAACTGTACCAATACCTTTTGGTAAACAGTCAAAACCTGGAAAAAGTGTGGTGTTCAAAAACTTTTGACCGGTTGTGTATTTGCTCTGATGCAGGCTGCTGGACCGACTGGTTTGACAGAGATGATCCCACCGGTGATGGAGACTGGGAAACTCTGGAGCTACTCATCAAGGAAAATCCAGGACGAATCTGTAAGAACCCTTTGCATATGGAGGTCCTGACCGTCAGCGGAGCCAGTGTGGAGTCCACCGGGGATTACGTCGAGTGAGTGATGGTTTTGATATTGTTTTGAAGCAGAGTACTTTCACGCTGACAGCAGTCGACGCGCACCATTCAAACCAAAAGCTCTTAGTTTGGGTTTGTTTTTGTTGGTGTGAAAGCATCAATCACACTCGGATCAACACTAAATCAACAGGTCCCAAGTCACTGACCTTCAAATCCAAGTCAAGTCAATCTGTGTGTCATTCGTTCATTCGTTTTCAATATAAAACCAAAAATAATAATTCTTCATTATTTGTCTCCAAAACCAAAATGAAAAAATGGATAATGATTAGTTTGTTCAGTTTTTCATTTTGTGTTTAAATGAAGAATGAAAAAAATGGATAACGGCCGTTTTCTGTTTACGTGACTTTTGCACTACGTACGGACTGAACCAGGACTGATCCAGGACTGATCCAGGTCCGGGACCAGACTGGGACCAGAGCGGGACTGAGACCGAGACCAGACCAGGACCAGACCGAGACTGAGATCAGACTGAAACTGGGACCAGACCGAGACTGAGACCAGACCGGGACCAGAGCGGGACTGAGACCGAGACGAGACCAGGACCAGACCGGGACCAGACTGAGACTGGGACTGAGACCAGGCCGGGACCAGACCGGGACCAGACCAGAGGGTCAGAGCCCACAGTAGGGCCGGAGCTCCAAGCTGAGGCTCGGACCCCACGAAGGCTCGGAGTCAAAGCTTTGGAGTCCGCCCTGGTCCGCCCTGGTCCCTGGTCCCGCTCTGGTCCCGGTCTGGTCCGGTCTGGTCCGCTCTGGTCCGGTCTGGTCCGCTCTGGTCCCGCTCTGGTCCCGGTCTGGTCCCGCTCTGGTCCCGGTCTGGTCCCGCTCTGGTCCCGGTCTGGTCCCAGACCTGGATCAGTCCTGGTTCAGTCCGTACGCGGTGCAAAAGTTCGGCATCACAGTCATGGAAGTCACATAAACGGAAAACGACCGTTATCTGTTTTTTCATTCTTCATTTAAACACAAAATCGAAAACTGAAAAAACAAATCCTTATCCGCTTTTTCATTTTGGTTTTGGAGACAAATAACAAAGAAATTAGTTGTTTTTTCATTTTCTTATTTTTGGTTTTATATTGAAAAACGAATGAACGATACACAGATTCAAGTCCCAAGTCCATTTCAGTCCATTTTATTCAAGTCTCAAGTCTTAAAATAGTGAATCGACTCAATTCACGAATTGCAAGTCCCACCTCTGATTTACACTGTTCATTGTTTCCTTAAAGAGGGAGTTTATGCCAGATCAACTTTTTGGAGCTTTCTCCAATGTTATAACATTTTCTCAAAAACATATCTGAAGAGGTTTAAGATGTCATGTCATGTTCATGTTTGAGTAATCTAGTGATCTCTCCTGGGCCCTATTCGAACCCATGTTATGGTTATTTCAAGACCAGAAGTAAAAATACCATATTCCCAACACATTTGATTATTCTATTCCTTTATAAATGGACATAACTAACAAATAGGAAGTGTTCATGGAAGCGCTTCTGGCTCCATCGACTCTTGTGATTTTGATCTTAAAATGTTTGTATGAACCCGCTCTACATGATCCTGATGTTTTGATTTCACTGCCTTTGTCCACGTCTTTACACAGTCCATGTTCTCTCCACAGAGCCAGTCCCAGCAGTGGTTTTATATGTGACAACGGTAAACAAAGAGACAAGTCATGTCACGATTACAAAGTAAGATTCTACTGCCCTGAGGAGTTCTGCCTCGAGAAAGGTGAGATGGAACCATTTCAGAAGACAGCTTACCGTATTTAACAGTGTTTTACAGACCCCGTGTTAATGCTAATTTGTAGTTCAACCATAGTGTGACTTGTGTTGCATCATAACTCGGTGACCAGATTTTCAAATTCTAACTGGGACATCCCCGGTTTGTGGTGGTTGGTAATAATAAAATTGTGAAACGAGAACATATTTAAGGAAAACTGTTCTGCACTCGGCCCATTTATGACTAACATTTCATCAGTATAGTCACATTTTCTTTGTGTTTTGGTCATTTTTAAGCACTTTTTCTGTCTTTTAGCTAAACAGATGATCTCTTTTTACTGTTTTTTAACTGACATCTGGAATATTTCTTGTATAAAACTGGGACAAATCACTGGTTTTGGATAAATTCGCTGAGACAGTAGCCAGGCTGACAGCACCTAGTGTCTCCGTTTAGTTTAGTTTCTAAAAACCAGAACCAGAACAAAGAGAATGTTTGGTGAATTTTATCAAGGAGAAAGACGTTATTGTTCTTCTTCCTACGGGATTTAGCACATTACATACGTCATAACCAAAGAGTAGCGACAGGTTAAATAAAAAAAGTACCTGCCCACCATCGAGCGAACAAATTCTAATGCTGCGAGGCCAGACGGTTTCCACGAAGTGAAACTGGCTGATGAACAGTGTTGGGGAGTAACAGATTACATGTACCGGAGTTACGTAATCAGACTACAAATTATGAGTAACTGTATTCAGTTACTGTTTCAGTGAGTGGTAATTGGATTACAGTTACTTTGTTGAAATAAATGGATTACACGGCAGTATTTTTCTGTTTTCACATTTTGGGCTAAACCAGGACTAAAACCAGAACTAAACTACAAAGCATGACAATATCAAGTAATCCAAAGTATTCAGAGTACATTACTCACTTTAAGTAATTTAATGGATTACAAACTACATTTTGGAGTGTGTAATCTGTAATCTGTAGGGGAATACATTTTAAAAGTCACCTTCCCAACACTGCTGATGAATCAGGCGAGTACCTCTGAGCTCATATTGACTATTTTGTGTTTACATCACATAAAAACAGATTTTATAATAAGGCAACTCGCATGCAGAAACAGTAAAGTTCGAAGATTAAAAATGAGATTAACGCGATTAAAAAACATTATAACACACTAAATATGACTAATTAATTAATCGCAATTAACGCGATCATTTGACACCCCTAGTGACGCTGGCGGTGCCCACACACTGCTCCAATACTGGATTTTGTTTCATATTTGAAGTGCAAAGAGTTGTTGTTTTTTCTTATCTTAAATGGAAATGTAATTCCTTTGTCTGGAATGTTTCACAGTATGGCATTAAACCTTTCAATCTTCATGGAGACCAAACCAGACCAAGTTACAGGTCAGATCTGTGGAGAGGCGACCCCGCTCACAGTCAGAATGTCTGTTTTTCTAGCTATTTTTGAGCTCTAAAACCACCTGTAATTGAATACATGTTAAGTAGAATAAAGTGTTTAATGTCATACTGTGGAACATTCCAGGCAGAGCAATGATGCATCCATAGAAACAGCCCCCAGCCAGAAAATTACACAATGCACCTTTAAGTGTAGCAAGATGTATTTTGATATTTTAACCACAAAAAGTCTCATTCCGCTGGTAGATCATTTTACTTGTGAAGAGAAAATGACTCAAATCATGATCAAATTTTCTTAATTCAGATCATCATAACTCGGCTAGATTTGAGTTTTTGCTTTGTTGTTGAGTCTCAGCAACATTTTTGACTCAAACTCTTGAATTTCGTTCGACCCGCTGCAGGCTGCTGGACCGACTGGTTCGACAGAGACAACCCCAGCGGGACCGGAGACTGGGAAACTCTGGAAGATCTTCACCACGAATATCCTGGACAAATCTGTGACTTTCCTCTGAAGGTCGACGTCCAAACCACAGCCGGGGACCCCGTGATTTCAACTGGAGACGTGATTACAGCGTGAGTTTCACTGTGCAAACATGTAGGATGGGTTTAGAGTGCCAAACTCAAATCACGTGTAACAAAAATACAAATGCTAAGAATTCATATTTCTTTTCGATAACAGATCTGACATATATACCGGCTTCATCTGCGAGAACTCTAACCAACTCAAGCCCCCGTGCTATGATTATAAGATCCGTTTCTTCTGTCCGGAAGAATTCTGTAAATCAAAAGGTAAGTTTGTTTACTGTTCAAATGTTTAAAACCTTCTTCTGTTTCCTAAATAGACAGCGGGATCCTCCCTCTTATACAAATACCATATGTTTGGGACTATGAGGTGCACCTGATGAGAAGGTGCAATATCAGTAATGTTGAATTCTCTATTTTCATACATAAATCACACCGGATTCTAAGGTAGACATGATTTTTCACAGTGTAATCTTAAAAAAGTCACATATATTTCTTTCGTGACTAGTCAGAAAATCTTAAATTTAGGCAATAAATGTTTAAAAGAAGTTACAATCCATTGACCAAAGTTTTCCCCTGCAACACTTGACTTGTTTTTAGATTCAGTGAGACAGATTTGCTCGATACTCATGAATGTTTATCTCAAACTTAGCATCCTTGAATGTATCTCCAGCCCATGAACGTCACCAGGATTTAGGACTGTACCAGAGTTACATAATCAGAATAGTAGGAGTAACTGTATTCAGTTACAGTTACTGTTTCAAATAAATGGATTACACAGCGGTATTTTCCTGTTTTCATTGCCGGGCACTAAACCAGGTCTAAACAAGGTCTAAACCAGGTCTAAACCAGGTCTAAACCAGGTCTAAACAAGGTCTAAACCAGGTCTAAACCAGGTCTAAACCAGGTCTAAACCAGGTCTAAACAAGGTCTAAACCAGGTCTAAACCAGGTCTAAACCAAGGTCTAAACTAGGTCTAAACCAGGTCTAAACCAGGTCTAAACTAGGTCTAAACCAGGTCTAAACAAGGTCTAAACCAGGTCTAAACAAGGTCTAAACCAGGTCTAAACCAGGTCTAAAACTAGGTCTAAACCAGGTCTAAACAAGGTCTAAACCAGGTCTAAAACTAGATCTAAACTAGGTCTAAACCAGGTCTAAACCAGGTCTAAAACTAGGTCTAAACCAGGTCTAAACAAGGTCTAAACCAGGTCTAAAACTAGGTCTAAACTAGGTCTAAACCAAGTCTAAACCAGGACTAAACCAGGTCTAAACTAGGTCTAAACCAGGTCTAAACCAGGACTAAACCAGGTCTAAACCAGGTCTAAAACCAGGTGTAAACCCAGGTCTAAACCAGGTCTAAACTAGGTCTAAACCAGGTCTAACCAGGACTAAAACCAGGTCTAAACCAGGACTAAACCAGGTCTAAACAAGGTCTAAACCAGGTCTAAACCAGGACTAAACCAGGTCTAAACCAGGTCTAAACCAGGACTAAACCAGGTCTAAAACCAGGTCTAAACCAGGACTAAACCAGGTCTAAACCAGGTCTAAACCAGGACTAAACCAGGACTAAACCAGGAATAAACCAGATCTAAAACCAGGTCTAAACCAGGTCTAAACCAGGACTAAACCCAGGACTAAACCAGGTCTAAACCAGGACTAAACCAGGACTAAACCAGGACTAAACAGGTCAAACCAGGACTAAACCAGGACTAAACTAAACCAGGACTAAACCAGGACTAAACCAGGACTAAACCAGGTCTAAACCAGGTCTAAACCAGGTCTAAACCAGGACTAAACCAGGACTAAATCAGGTCTAAACCAGGACTAAACCAGGACTAAACCAGGACTAAACCAGGACTAAACCAGGACTAAACCAGGTCTAAACCAGGTAAACCAGACTAAACCAGGACTAAACCAGGACTAAACCAGGTCTTAACCAGGACTAAACCAGGACTAAACCAGGTCTAAACCAGGACTAAATCAGGTCTAAACCAGGACTAAACCAGGACTAAACCAGGACTAAACCCAGGACTAAACCAGGACTAACAGGACTAAACCAGGTCTAAAACAGGATTTAACAGGACTAAATCCTGCTGCGTGGACGTGTCTCCTCGTCTTCTATCAATAATATTTTTAATACGGTTAAGTAAAGACTCGGCCTTTTCATTTTCTTTTAGCAGACAAAACATCTTATGTGAAGATTTCCTCGTCTTTACAGCAAATCAAGTAATCCAAAGTATTCAGATTACATTACTCACTTTAATGGATTACATTACAAACTACATTTTGGGGTATGTCATCTGTAATCTGTAGGAGAATACATTTTAAAAGTCACCTTCCCAGTCTCCGTACGAGAACTTGTCAAGTAAAATGATCTTGCTGCATGACAGACAGATCATTTCACTACTTTTAAGTCATTTGCTGATAGATTTAAATGTTTATAGGTTAATTTTGGCAGTGTACTTAATGATTTCTACACACCTCCAAATCCAAATACTGAGGAGTTCTGTTGTCCTTCTGCAGGCTGCTGGACTGACTGGTTCGACAGAGACAACCCCAGCGGGAAGGGAGACTATGAAACTTTGGAAGATCTTTTGAAAGAATATCCAGGACAAATCTGTGAGTTTCCTCTTAATATCGAGGTGGAAACTACATCTGGGAACAGTGTGTCCTCGACTGGAGACGTGATCACTGTGTAAGTATCATTTTACTGACACTGATATGTATTGGACATTTTACACTCAATTTTGTTATTGAAATGTAATTCTGTCACCACAATCGTACGTGATAGAATACAATTTTAAAAACTAAAAATATTTGGAGAGATTCTTGAGTATTGCTATGTAATCTTATTCAGTTAAGGTCAGCTTTTTCCTTCTCAAAATTAAACAGTGTTAGTTTTTGGTAACACTTTATAATAAGTACATTTTAATAGCCTTAATTAAAGCATAACAATTCATAATGAGCTAATAATGTAAAGAGAAGATTCAGGCTTAGTATTTCATTCATACCCTGACCAACTTAACCCTAAAACTAGGGATGTCCCGATCACATTCAGTCATTTTTCAGTCATTTGATTTTGAGCATCTGCCGATACCGAGTCCTGATCCGATACTTCTGTACAATTATTAAATGAACTAAGAGCAAAGAATAAGATCCAGGATGTGTGGGGAGATCAGATTGTGTTGATTTCAAGTATTTGGGCTGAACTTGTGAAAAATGAAATGTCCAAAACTTGAAAAGAGTTTGAACCCTGCACATGGTTTAAAGCTCACATGAGTCCATTTTGCGTCAGATGTAGTTGTTATTGTGAAGTGGTACCCAGTTTTATTGTCGCCACCCCTAATCCCAAATTTATATTTGAACAGATATAACGTAGTCAGCGGCTTTGCCTGTGAGAACATCAATCAGCCCGACAAAAAATGTGATGATTACAGAGTGAGATTTTTCTGTCCTGAAGACTTCTGCAACTCCACAGGTACGTTCAGTTTAGAAACATTCCTACAAATACAGCCACTTGTAGCTTCCATCTGCAACGACCTCACCTCGCCAAAGGTGTTCATGTATGTTAAATTCAATCCAGTAAAATAGCTAATAATAAAAGGAGAGTTTGTCGTCTGCTTGTCTCCATGGTGATGTTATTGCTTTGTCTGGGATGTTCCACAGTATGGCATTAAACAAATATGTGCATCTTGTTTTTATTCAGTTACAGGTGTTATATTTTTTTCGAAACTACTGCAAAAACACGCGTTGTTACTGTGAGTCGGCGCACTTCTCCACAGATCTGACCTGTAACTTGACCTACTTATCTGTTAAATGGATTGCCATACTGTAGAACATTCAGCACGGAGTCAAGCACCAGAAAAGTTGCACAGTGCATCTTTAATAAGCTTCATTAAACCATGCTTTTTACTCTGATAATGTTAATGTTTTTTGTTTTGTTTTTTTTTTTCACTTTTTGCAGTTGTTACGCCCCCTCACGGCGGTAACTGTGGCTCCCCCTGTGGCGGTTACGGCGGGCAGTGCTGTAAACACTACACCGTGTGCTCCGACAACTGCTGTGACTCGTCTGGCGTCCCCATGGATCTCCTCCACACCAACAAACAACAATGCCCCTGAAGAAATGTTTTATCTTTACATCTGAATCAGAATTTGATTGAGTCATGATTTCAGATGGTGGGCGGGGCCTGTATACCTCTACGGGAGATTCAGTTTATAAAGAAATGTTCAAACTTATGCTCCTCAGATGTTTCATGTTATCTGTGAAGGATTGATTCAAAAATAGCCATTATATTCTGTGTGTTTTCTTTGATGCATTGTGTAACTTTTCTGGTTTAGGGTCTGTCAATTTGTGTTCTCATGGAGATGTTGTTGCTTGTTATGTTATTGTTATGATGTCTGGAATGTTTCACAGTATGGCATTAAACCTTTCCATCTTCACTGAGACCAAACCAGATCGAGTTACAGGTCAGATCTGTGGAAGAGGTTTTTCTATGTATCCGTGGGCTTTAAAACCATCTGTAATTGAGTAAATGTAAGATGGAGCTGTTTAATGTCACGCTGTGGAACATTCCAGGTAGAGCAGTAACTATAGAAACAAACACCCCCACCTCCTGACCAAAAAGTTACATAGTGCAACTTTATGTCTCTCAACTGACAACACTCATGTCTTTGGGGTTGAAATGTGAAAAAAATATATCCACTGAAGTTTATTAAATGATAAAAATGATGATGATGAAAACATGTTGGACTTTGTGTCAGTTTTTGTGATTTAAACCACGTCAACAAATCTGCAGTCCGTCTGAGAATTCTGTCCTCCAGCTCAGTCTAAACTATAGAGAATCTAGAACATTGTGATGTTACATGAACCCAACTTATTGAACTACCCACTGCACAAAGAAACATCAACACGTCTTTTTTACGGTCATTTTTATACATCCAGTCTCGGTCCACTGAAGGTACAGAGTGTAACACCAGATGACGTCTTTTTGTATTGTACTGACGTTCCCAGGGCGTCTGGATGAGGTCAGTTCTAGACTAAATGAGGTCTTTGTTGACATCTTTTCTACGTTAATAATACTACTAATAATAACGCATCAGTTTTGTATAACGCTTTTGCTCTGGACACTCAAAGACGCTTTATTCATTCACTCCACAGTCGGGGGTGGTAAGAAACTACTGTAGCCACAGCTGCCCTGGGACAGACTGATAGATGCGAGGCTGCCAATCTGCGCCATTGGCCCCTCCGACCACCACCAACACTCACACACACACACACACACCACTTTCATACTAGGCAATGTGGGTGAAGTGCTTTGCCCAAGGACACAACAACAGTTTTAGTGACTGGTGCCCCCTGTGGCTCCTGATTTTCTCAGTGTCTCCATCCAAGTTCTAACCAGACTCCTTCCCGCTGAGCTTCTGAGATCTGAGGAGATCAGGCTTTGATAAGTCGATGTCCATGTTAAATCTAAACTCTTTTTCGAGTGTTTTTCTTGGCCGACTGTTGCTGGGCTCTGTGCAGAACTACGATGGCAGAATGTTCCAGTTTATTTAGTCTCAGCAGCAGGAAACTGTAAACACATACAAAGGTGTAAATAATGTTGAGTTCAAACTGCCCCTGAGTCACACGAAGCTACAAAAACAGCAGGTACAGTTCACAGGTTCTCCTCCTTCAAACTTCAAACATCAAACTAAAAATTCACCAACTTTTCCCTGAATAACACACACACACACACACACATTTCCACGACCATTAATAACAACATTTTCATCAGTTTGTGCTCCATGACGTCCAAAAAAGTCCCCTAGTCCATGGTTCAAATGTTTAACTGCAGCTGATGCCCAAGTGGGTCAGAGTTACACGTCCAAATAATGGACATGGTCCATTATTTGCCCTATCTAAGATTTGGAATTATATATATATATATATATATATATATATGTATATATACAATCCAATCTACATTATTTCTATAGCACATTTCACAAACAAACTGTTTCCAAAGTGCTGCACAAATACATAAAAAATAACAACAATAAGATGATAAAGTAAATTACTAAAATAATACTAGTCTTAAAGTAATAAAACTAGTAAAATAATATAAAACCAGTAAAATAAAAATAAAACTATATCATAGAATAGAAATAAATAAACCAATAAATAAATTAAATCAGTAAAACCAATAAAAACACATAAAAATAAATAAAAAACACAGAGGAGCACACAACTCACGCGGTGTTAAAAGCCAGAGAATAAAAGTGGGTCTTCAGACGAGATTTAAAACTCTCCACTGTGGAGCTGCTCCAACGTGAAGCGGCAGATCGTTCCAGAGTTTAGGGTCGACCACAGAGAAGCTCCTGTCCTCCTGGTTTTAAGTCTCGTCTTAGGCCCCCTGAGGTGGAGCTGGACCTCGGACCTCAAAGCGGGGCGCAGGGGTATAAATTTGGATGAGGTCCGAGACGTACTGTGGAGCCAGTCCATTCAAAGCTTTAAAACAATAAAATCTTAAAATCAATTCTAAAATTAACAGGGAGCCAGTGCAAAGATGCAAGGATTGGGGTGATGTGCTCTTCTCTCCTTTTTGTTCCTGTTAAAAGTCGCGCTGCAGAATTTTGGACTAACTGTAGTCGGTAAAGTGCGTTTTGCGAAATGCATAAATAATAATAATAAAGTGCATTACAGTAGTCCAGGCGCGATGAAATAAAAGCGTGCATAACTTGTTCAAATAGTTTAAAAGATAAAAAAGTTTTAACTTTAGATAAAAGCCGCAAATGATAAAAACTTGATTTTAAAACATTGTTAATCTGTTTATCAAATTTAAAATCAGTGTCTAAGATGACGCCGAGGTTGGTGACCGTGGGACGAACATGATTTTTGAGGAATCCCACATTAGTGAGGGAACTGTTGGCCCCAAACAGTATCACCTCAGTCTTATCTTCATTGAGTTTCAAAAAGTTTTGGGCCAACCACGCCTTGACGTCCGATAGAGTCGAGCAGGGGGGTCAGGGGGCAGTGATCCTTTTTGCCAATGGGTAAATAAATTTGGCAATCATCTGCATAAAAATGATAAGACAGGCCATGTCTTCTAAAAATTTCTCCAAGAGGGAGCAGATAAAGTGCAAAAAGCATAGGCCCCAGGATTGAACCCTGGAGGGGTGGATGACGAGGTGGAGTCCCCCAGCCTTACAACGAAGGACCGCCCAGAGAGGTACGACCTAAACCATTCCAGGGCGGTCCCCCTGACACCCACACATTCTTCAAGGCGTTTTAAAAGAGTTGCATGGTCAACTGTGTCAAAAGCAGCAGTCAGGTCTAAAAGCACTAAAATGGCAGAATCACCAGCATCAGTTATTAAAAACAGGTCATTAAAAACCTTTAAAAGTGCAGACTCAGTGCTGTGAAACGCCTTGTAGCCTGACTGAAAAGTGTCTAAAATTCCATTTACATCTAAAAAAGGCTGCAGCTGTGAAATAACAGTTTTCTCCAGGATTTTTGACATGAAGGGAAGTTTGGAAATTGGTCGATAGTTCGATAAAATTGTGGGATCAAGACCTGTTTTTTTAATCAATGGCTCAACCACAGCTTTCTTACAAAAAGAGGGCACAGTGCCAGAAGACAAACTACTGTTAATAATGTCTGTGACCAAGTTGCCAATAGTGTCCCAAACCTCCTTAAAGAGGCGAGGTGGGACTGGGTCTGTGGGACAGGACGATGGCTTAAGCTTTTTAATTAACAATCCCTGTGATTACAGACAGTGACACCGGCTCAAACTTACTAAAAACATCTAAACACTGAGTCATGGCAACATTAGAACAGGGTAGTGTAGTTCTGTTGGCTCTGATAACGGCAACCTTCTCATTAAAAAAGGAGAGGAATTTTTCACATGTTTCCCGTGTCATTTCCAGTGTAGTGGATGGACTAGGATTAAGAACAGAATTGATTGTTTTAAAAAGAACACGAGGTTGATTAACTTTACTTAAAATCAGATCTGATAAAAATTTACTCTTTTCAGTTTTAACAATACTCTGGTAATTCTTCCAGCTGCTTTGAAGAATTTGATGAGACACTTCCAATCCGTCCCTTTTCCTCCTGCGCTCCGCTCTACGGCACCGTACACTCCCGCCGGGCTGCGCGTGTAGTGTCGTTAAGCCATGGCTTTGGTCTGGGTTTTGGGCGCATGGCTTTCAAAGGAGCTACAATGTTTAAAACGCCGGTACAAAGGGACATAAATACATTCATTAAATGCTCCGTGTCTGTGTATGCAGGAGCGAGGGTGAGAGCAGACGCCGCAAAAAGAGGAGTAAAAGCGGCCGCAGTATCGGACTTAATAACGCGAGTTTTACGCAAAGGAGCAGGTAGCATCATATATATATCACGTATATATATATATATATATATATATATATATATATATATATAGTTATTTTGATTGATCTATGATTTATAAATAGTAACACAACAAGTTATGTTTTATTGAGTTATTTTTTCCTCCAATAATGGTATATTATATATGCCTCTCACATGCAAATACAAAACAACTTTTGAACTGTTATATCTGGAGTTTACACATTTTGAAATATGATTAAAACAAAGGAGAAATCTGAGACACATGCGTCTATTGCAGTATACTGGAGACTTCTTTTCATTTGTCTTTTTTCAGCCAAGAAATTTCAGCAAAATACAGTGAAGACAACCAGATGTGGGTAGAGCAGCCAAAAGTAAAAGTAACATTACGTACAAAGTAGTAGTCCAAAAAATGACTCAAGAGTAATTGTACGGACATAACATCTGATTTATAATTTGAAGCTAATTTAAGTGCAAAAGTACAAGTACAAAAAAATTGCACAAAATGTAATATTTTCAAATGACAGAAACAAAAATGAGATAAACTAAATAATTTCATACTGTCAACGTTTTTTCTTTTGTCATTGTAGAAGACGAAGCAAATATTTTAGTCAAGTAAGAGTACAGATACTTCAATAAACCATAAATAAATGAAATAGGAGTAAAAGTATGCTGCCAGAAAAGTACAATTACAAAAGTACAGTTTAAAGTAAGTAAATGTGAGTATTATGTACCTTTGAAGGTGATTCTTCAAGGCATCCAGTTCACATCTATTTGATTGACGGGGGTGCTGACCCTTTGTGGGCGGGGCATGAGTTTCTATGGGTGGAGCTTGAGTCTTTGCGGGTGGGAACAGTCCAGGGACATACTTTGATGCTTGAGACTATCTGAGTCCTGGTCCAGACCCCGTACGCCCGACCAAAGACCTGGTTGAACCCTTGTTGTATCTCGGTGGTGCGTACGCCGTAGATGATGGGGTTGAAGGCAGCGGGCAGCAGGATGTAGACCAGGCCCATGACGGTGTTCAGGTCTGAGGAGAGGCTCAGGTGCAGCGTGTGGGAGAGGAACGCCACAGTGCCCACCAGGTAAAACACCAACAGAACCATCAGGTGAGTCCCGCAGGTGTGCAGGGCCTTCCACCTGTCCTCCCGCGCACGGTGAACTACAATTAAGATCTGCAAGTACGACAGAATGATAACGGGGATGTCCAGGCCTACGAAGCACACGATCACAGCCACGCCTGCCCTCTGACTGGGCCCAGTGTCTCCACAGCCCAGACGCACCACAGCCATGTGGTCACAGTACAGGTGCTCGATCACACGACTGCCACAGAAGTCCAGAGAGGCAGCCAGCCCCACCAGGACCGCCATGACAGAGCCGCTCCGGAGCAGAGTGAAGAGGGCCAGGGCCAGGAAGAAGGAGCGGTCCACCACCTGTCTGAGAACACACCACGGAGTATGGAGTTACAATGTGTTCACTACAACAACAGCATTATCAGAGATCCACAACACACACTTCTGTCATATTTTAAGAGGATGTGAGTCTGGTCTCTGGTGCATCTTCTAAAGTTCAGATGGGTGTGATTGACAGGTGGATTAGCCAATCAGAGACATGCATGGGCAAAAGAAACATAATAATAATAATAATAACACAACAGTGGCTCAGTGGTTAGAGCAGAGTTTCCCAACTCGAGGGCTAAACGAGCTATTCCCACACGAACCAAGTTCTGTCTCTGTGTCCTTAGACAAGACACTTCACCACGTCAGGACAACTGTAGCTACAAAAGCAGCTTGCCACCAGTGTGGAGAGAATGGATAATGTGCAGTTATAATGTGCAGTGTAAAGCACATGACAAGAGTAAAACATCATTATGCACGGGTAAAAGAAACATGTTTTTTACAAAGAAAACAAAAAAGTATCACAAGAATTGAAAAACATTTCTGTGGAATCAGTGAGGGAGGCACAACACTCTGAGTTCTGATTAAGATCGTTTCACATGCGCAATATGCAAATCTGATCACACAATACTGTCTGAATGTGGCTCAAGTTGCAATGGAGGGAGTGGTGACCAAACTGATATCCTCTGTATAAAATATACAAATATCATTGTGGCAAACAGCAGCTATAAAACTAGAATGAAATCTGAAGCTGAGCCATTCACACATTATTGTATCCACTGTTGATTTACTGTAATGTGCTCATGTTCCTCTCAAATGGAGAAAATGTACCTGTCCCGGAACTGACAGGGCTCACCTGTCCCTGAGCTGGCAGGGCTCACCTGTCCCTGAGCTGGCAGGGCTCACCTGTACTTGAGCGGGTGGCAGATGGCCACGTAGCGGTCCAGCGCCATGGCGAGGAGCAGTGTAGACTCCAGTGACGACAGGAAGTGTGTCAAGAACATCTGTGTCAGACACTCGGTCAGTGAGACGCTGTGGTTGGGGTTGAGCAGGACCAGGAGCGCGTTTGGAACGATGACCAGAGCAGAGAGAAGGTCCACCAGACACAGCGCCCCCACCAGGACGTACATGGGACTCCACAGAGCCTCCACACAGAGGAGAACCAGCAGGAGACAGCCATTTGCTACTATCACCAGTCCAAAGACCAAGGCCAGCGGCAGAGCGATCAGGCCGCACTTCCACAGCGGGAACGGGAACGCCAGGAAGTGGAAGTCTGACTGGTTCAACATGCTGCTGCTCCTACAGGCCTGGAGGGGTACTGCTTTGAGGTCAGCATCTTGCACAGAATGTTCTGATAGAAGAGAAACTGAGAAGAAGAGTACAAGGGTTATGCACACTGCACACGCAAACATACTGTACATGTGATGAGAAATGAAATCAGAGACACAGGAAATACAGAAATACACGTTAAGCAAAAGAGAAAAACACATGTATACAGTAGAAAACACTAGAGGAATATATATATATTTATATTTATATCATTCAGAGTAAAGTTTTCACTGAACCTAGTACTGTCCCAAAACCAGGAGCAAAATCAAGTATATGAATTTCCACACACCAACATAATAACATCAACACAACATGATATAAAAAAAAAAAAAAGTTGTTACACATTTACAACTCAACTGAATAAAGCCTCACCTGTTCAGTGTGGATCTTGTTTGTAAAATAAACTGCTAATATTCTCATAGGCGTGTGGTCTTCTTTAATGATCCTGCCTTCAGTCGTATTTAAACACTTTTCCTTCGTGGTCCTGGGAGAATCCTGCTCTCTGATTGGACACAAGTTCATTATGTTAAAGGTTTGTTAACTGTGTCTGTGTCCTAAGGGTTGGGTTTGGAAAATCAAACTTTTACTTCACAACATCTAAATGAGCTGCTCTAATGATCATTACTGTTAAAAAGAAAGAGAACAGCTCTGCTCCTCTGGCTCTGCTCCTCTGGCTCTGCTCCTCTGGCTCTGCTCCTGTCTGCTCCTGTCTGCTCCTGTCTGCTCCTGTCTGCTCCTGTCTGCTCCTGTCTGCTCCTGTCTGCTCTTGTTTGCAGTGATCCAAACGTATTCCTCGCTCTCCTTGCACATTCATAACAACCCAATGATTCACCCCGATGACTTTCTGAGCTCTTTTCTACATTTTTTGCTGTTACTGTGCCAACAACAACTAGCATGCTAACAGTGCCACTTCCTGGTTCATGGAGAATAATTAGATGCAGGCAGCACACAAGATTTAAATGTATTAGATGAAATTTTAGTTTATTACAAGAAACAACTTTTTAGCATAACATTTTACATCCATTAGATCGTAGGATGCTGATTTTAGATTTGATTTTAGAGTTTAGACCCCTGCTTTGGTCTGGTGCTCTTTACACTCCCTGCTGCCCCCTGTGTCGGCTCTAATTGTCCCTGTGCTGCGGGTGATTTCCTCAGAGGTAGAGCTTTGTTAGTGTCTCACATAATTAATGCTCCCCTCACCCCCCCACGCTCCCATCAGCCGACTGAGGGAATCCCAACCTCATTATAAAAGTGTGTAAACCATTCTGACCTCGGAAGGGTTTAGAGTCCACACGCATCAAGAAGGTCCTGGATTGGATTCTGAGGTGGGGCCTGTTTGTGTGGGGTTTGCATGTTCTCCCCGTGTCTGTGCAGGTTTTCCTCTGGGTGCTTCAGATTCCCCTCCCACTATAAACATGTACAGTCTGGTTCTCTGTGTGGCCAGGACTCCCCTGAAAAAGAAGGATCTCAGGGTCTGTTTACACAAGAACACTTGTGGGTAAAAATGACAAAATATTTTATCAGAAGTGCCTTTCGTTCCAACGGTGACGGCGTTTTTGGGGCTTAAAAAGGCAAAAATCTGAAACCACCCTCCAGAGTGGAATAGTTGAACACACTCTGCTGTAGCGTTTTCATCTGTACTGACAAAGACGCAAAACTCTGCTCAGATGTGCTCATGTTGTGTATGTGTTTATGTCACATACATACAGTACACAGAAACAAATATGTTGGTTCATTTCCATTTCAAGTTGCTCTGGCAGCTCTAATAAACTTACAGGAGGCTCCCAACAAATGTACAGAATCTGCAGAGATACTATTAGTGAACAGAGAAGAATCTGCAATCACCTCTGTCAAATTCTGCATGCACCAGTTGGTCGCAGGTGAGCCAGACGGATATGGACGAGACCTGGAGAATCAGTCGATGATGGGACAAGTTTGTGGAAGGAGTAGCTGATGAAAATGAGTGGCTTCAATATGTCCAAAGATGCCCTGGTTGCTTTAAATAGAAGCATATCTAGACTTCCACATACTTTTGCAGCAGATTTCCCCCCAAAACACTTGTCTAAATGCGGAATAAAAAGTGAAGACGTGACGCCACTATTGGTCTTCTGTTCAGACCCTCTTCATATAAACGTAGCATCAGTGGGACTATCCCGGTTAAATAAAGGTCAAATTTATGACCTGCTGTTTGTTTTAATTTAGTGAGATATGATCAAGTGTTGAATTGATTTAACTCCTTAACACCGACTGTCACAAATATGCAACAAACCTTTTGAATCAAGATATAAGATGAGATAGTGGCTGCATTCCACCAATGCCAGTTTATGCAGATGCAGGACTTTCCTAGGAACCTTTGGCAAACAGTTTGCAACATACCCAGATGTCTCTTTAATTTTTATTTTTTTAATTAATCATCTCGACTTAATTGACTATCTACTTAAAGGCAAAAACACACACAACACATTGTTTATATACGTCTCTATACATTCAGGAGTTGTTGGGTTTAAACTAGTGATCAGGTCCAGTGCAGGAGCAATGCTGCCACAAAATCTACAGTCACAATATATTAACCCTTTAAACCTGCCTCACAGCAAGAAGGTTCTAGGTTTGATCCCTGGGTCGCCTGGTCTGTGTGGAGTTTGCATGTTTCTCCCCGTGTCTGGATGAGTTTCCTCTGGGTGCTCCCCCATCAACCCAAAACATGTTACAGGTCTCCAAAAAGAACATTTGATAGATAAAGGTCAGTTAAACACAATCAATCAATGAACCTGCCCAGAAACGACAGGTGGAAATGATCACTGATGCTACAACCTGATGTACAAACATCTCTCCTGTTCATGTTCATGTAAAAAGTGTGTGCTGTCCCTGTCTCATGAAATAAACTTCTAAACCAAACAGGTCTAAACCAGGTCTAAACCAGGACTAAAACCAGGTCTAAAACCAGGACTAAACCAGGACTAAACCAGGTCTAAACCAGGTCTAAAACCAGGTCTAAAACCAGGTCTACTAAAACCAGGTCTAAAGCCAGGTCTAAATCAGATCTAAACCAGGTCTAAACCAGGTCTAAAACCATGTCTAAAACCAGGACTAAACCAGGACTAAACCAGGTCTAAACCAGCACTAAAACCAGGTCTAAAACCAGGTCTAAACCAGGTCTAAAACCAGGTCTAAAACCAGGACTAAACCAGGACTAAAACCAGGTCTAAAACCAGGACTAAACCAGGTCTAAACCAGGTCTAAACCAGGACTAAAACCAGGTCTAAAGCCAGGTCTAAATCAGATCTAAACCAGGTCTAAACCAGGTCTAAAACCAGGTCTAAACCAGGACTAAATCAGATCTAAACCAGGTCTAAACCAGGTCTAAACCAGGTCTAAACCAGGTCTAAACCAGGTCTAAAACCAGGTCTAAACCAGGTCTAAAACCAGGTCTAAAACCAGGACTAAACCAGGACTAAACCAGGTCTAAACCAGGTCTAAAACCAGGTCTAAAACCAGGCCTAAACCAGGTCTAAACCAGGTCTCAAACAGGATTTAACAGGAGTAAATCATGCTGTGTGGATGTGTCTCTTCTTCTATCAATAATATTTTGAATACGGTTAAATAAAGTCTGAGCTTTTTTAGTTTCGTTTAGCAGATAAAACTTCTTATGTGAAAATCCTCGTCTTTGCTTCTCTACAGCAAATCAACTAATCCAAAGTATTCAGATTACGTTACTCACTTTAAGTAATTTAATGGATTACATTACAAACTACATTTTGAGGTGTGTAATCTGTAATCTGTAGGAGAATACATTTTAAAAGTCACCTTCCCAACACTGGGTCGCCTCTGCACAGATCTGACCTGTATCTTGGTCTGGTTTGGGTCCATGAAGATGAAATATTCCAGACAAAGTAATTACATCTCCATGGAGAAAAGTGTTTGACAGACCCTCTACCAGAAAAGTTACACAGTGCACCTTTAAATTATGTAGCCTTCTTGGTGTGGGATATGCCACCTGCCTGTTTCCATGGAGATGCTCTTCTTTAATATTTCAGGTAGGACCACCAGGCTAAGAAACCAGTCAGATCTGTGGAGAGGCGTACTGCTCACAGTCAGAATGAACGTTATCAAGGAGTTTGTTTTTTTATCAACAATGAAGAACACTTGTGGCTATGTTACATAATGCCACTTTAAATGACTGAAGATGTTGATATTTAGTTTGACATTGAGCAAATGATAAACATGTATCTCCATTTTTAATCTGTAGCCTGTAATCATTTGTACAACAGATGACATTGTTTATCATTTTAACCTTCTGATGAGACGAGTAAGAACAAGGTCAGTGAGAAGGTCCAGTTTGAACTAGAGCTGGTGCTGCCCCTCAACTAGAACTACTATATGTTTGTCCTGTTTGTTCTGTCCTGGTTTAGTCCTGGTTTTGTCCTGGTTTAGACTTGGTTTAGACCTGGGTTAGTCCTAGGATAGTCCTGGTTTAGACCTAGGATAGGCTTGGTTTAGTCTTGGTTTAGTCCTGGTTTAGTCCTGGTTTAGTCTTGGTTTAGTCCTGGTTTAGACCTGGTTTAGTCCTGGTTTAGACCTGGTTTAGTCCTGGTTCTGTCCTATTTTAGTCCTAGTTTAGCCCTAGGTTAGTCCTGGTTTAGTCCTACGATAGGCCTGGTTTAGTCCTGGTTTAGTCCTAGTTTAGTCCTGGTTTAGTCCTGGTTTAGTTCTGGATTTGTCCTGGTTTAGTCCTGGTTCTGTTCTATTTTAGTCCTAATTTAGTCATAGTTTAGCCCTAGGTTAGTCCTGGTTTAGTGCTGGTTTAATCCTGGTTTTGTCCGGGTTTAGTGCTGGTTTAGTCCTGGTTTAGACCTGGTTTAGTCTTAGTTTAGTCCTGGTTTAGACCTAGTTTAGTCCTGGTTTTGTCCGGGTTTAGTCCTGGTTTAGATCTGATATGACCTTTCATGCCTGGATGTCTTTAAAGTGACATTACACAATATATAGCTCCCTCTGCTGTATCAGATGAAACATTACACTGCAGGTTGTGGCCGAGTGGAACAGCAGAGGAGACTAAGTATGAACGTCAATGAAAGTAATGAATTAATTACAATTTAATTGACATTTACATTAATAACCAAACAAAAATGATCTATTGAATTACAGAAAGATCCCTTAGGCAAACTGAATCAAAAAAAAATTATTTTCAGTTATCAAAGTTGCAAACTACAAAAGAGCTTTGAAGATATGGTGCAACTTCAAGCAATGAATAATAATAAAATAAAAATAGTAAAGTGTGTTAAAAAAGGCCTTCACATAGAATAAAGAGTCATGTCTGGAGGAGCAGCAGTGGAGTGATTTTCAGTCCTGCTCCCGCCCGCCCTGAACTGTGCAGTCCCACTCCTGCAAAGAATTGTAATTTTCATTCCCGCTCAGGATGTTTGGAAAGGAAATGCCTAAAATGTGCCCGAGATTAGACCACATCTGCAAGTTTAGGCTGCTTAAAATATTTTTATTAATGCCAAATAAAATATCCAGCACAAATGATGTATGACAGGCAAACATGAATCATTTGTATATTTTATTCTACACACATCTTTAGTTTGTGAGACTGCAGTTTATCACCCCACCCGCCCGCTCCTGTGTTGTGCAGTCCTGCTCCAGCCCGTGCCTACAATGAGCTTTCAAATGCACTGTTTTGTGTTGGGACCTGCAGGAGGAGTGCAGGACTCTAGAACAGGACTCTAGAACAGGACTCTAGAACAGGACTCTAGAACAGGACTCTAGAACAGGACTCTAGAACAGGACTCTAGAACAGGACTCTAGTACAGGACTCTAGAACAGGACTCTAGAACAGGACTCTAGAACAGGACTCTAGAACAGGACTCTAGAACAGGACTCTAGAACAGGGCGAAGGGCAGGAGAGAAAGCAAACAGAACTCTCGTCTGAAAAATGTATGCATGTAGCATGTGTCAGCTGGAGTTAAAACAGAACACAGGTCTGAGCAGATGAAGGATTTGTTTGCGTATCTCCTGAGTCCGAATGCCAAAGGCCAGGGGGTTGGTGGTACTGGGCAGGAACAGGTAGAGGGCGCTGCAGAGCAGACGGGCAGTGAGTGGCAGTTTGTGTTGGACACGATAAGAGATGAAGGCCACGAGGATCACGGTCAAGGAAATGGACATGACAATGATGTGCGTCACCACGGTGTTTGTTGCCTTGGTGACGGCGCGGCCGCTCAGAGCCGTCATCAGGACAACCACATAGGATGCGGCGATGAGGACGAAGTCCAGCACCGGGACCAGGCCGATGACGAGGAGTCCCAGGGCCGAGTTCAGAGACGTGTCTCCACAGGCCAGCCTCACTACAGCCATGTGCTCACAGAAACAGTTCAAGAGCACAGAGTCACAGAAGTGCAGCCTGCTCACCAACACCACCAGCCCGGAGATCAGAACCACGTTCCTCAGTACAAGAGGGACCGCCACACCCAACAACACCCTCCCAGACAACCGGGCACTGTACCGCAATGGGCACACCACCGCCAGGCACCTGTCCAGAGCCATCCACAGCAGGATGGTGGACTGGAAGGTCCCCAGGAGGTGGGCTGCAAACATCTGCAGCAGACAGGCACTCAGAGACATCTGTGTCCAGCCCAACAGGAAGCTGAGCAGGACGGGAGTCAGGACCAGCAGAGGCAAGGCCCCGTCCACACAGGCCATCCCTGCTATGAGCAGGCACATGGGCGAGTGCAGACTGTGGTGCCGCAGAATCACAAATATCAACAGGAAGTTAGCCCCCAAAGACAGGAAGTAGAAGAGAGACAAAGGCAGAAAGAGAAGAGGACGTAGACGACCCAACTCCAGGAAACAGCTGAGCTCAAACACAGTGTGAGAGCTGATGTTGGCCATGGCACCAGTAGGGGGCGCTATACAGTGAACTAATATAGACTGAAGAACTCACTTCACAATAGTTTTCCACCTACACTGTAGAAAACATTTTATACCATAATCTCAGTCCAACACATTCACTGAAGACTGGAGACATGATCCAGACACTAAAGATGAACTTCAGAGAAGAAAACTCTGAAAACAAAATAAACATCAATACACATCGTTATGAAAAAAAATTTGTAATAAAGTGGTGACAAATCTTCAGTGACTTTATAACAGCAGCTTGTGAAAAGACCCTAACCCTAAAGTGGCTCTGATACAAATAATATAACTGTAAGAAAAACTTGAATAATCTTGTATTCTCTAGGACTTTTTCTTAAGAATTTCCCACATTTGTTTGACATGACGGGTGCATGTGTGTTGTACGTATTATGTACATAAAAGAATATTGATGACATTTTTTAAAAAGTCTTTAATCTTATCATAAGCTCTGTCATAAAAGGGGAGAATTTCTGATAATAGTTGTGATTTATTGACCTAATAGGAGAATGGATTTTGAGAATATTGGAAGATCTTCAAACTAATCAGCAAACACAGCCAGGTCTCACAACAAACTTCAACATCAGTGCAATCAGATGAAATCTGAGGTTTAATGTTGCCATCAAACCACCAATCAAACCACTGAAGTATTCTGCCTGGATTTATATAAATATTTGAACTATTTGAAATACTGTATCTCAGTCAATGTCTTGCCAAACCAAATCATGATTTAGCACAGAGGTGTCCCACTGTGACCAATTCAACACCACAACCTCCAGAAACATTGTGACACAGACATTAATGTTCTGATGAACCTTTTTAGTCTTATTAAAGGTGCAGTTTCTCTTTGAAGGCTCGGTCAGACCTCTGTAAAATACATCTGTCTGAAAGAACGACAGTATTGAACACTGTCTGTGACCTTGGTCAAAAACCTTTGGACATCCCTGATTTAGAAGATTAAATCACTCAACACTTTAACAAAGCATTACAGACACAGTTTCTCATTAGATCATATCTCATACTAAACAGACACAAAGAGCATATGCCATCATTATTATTCTGATAATATGAAACAAAAAGAAAATAGGTCAAGAATCAGTCAATAAAATTTTGTCAGAATGCACAAAAAAGCGATAGATTTCCATAGTAATTCCTTTCAGCATTACAGGCAAGGTTTTCAAATTACACTCAAAACACTTTAGTGCAAAAGATTTTAACCAAAGAATAATTCTAACATTATTTCATGTTAGAGAAAGTGGAGAGTGAAGAGAGCAAACGGAGACCCAGTGCTTTAATGTTATCTGTTGGACAAGCTGATTGGCTGAGAGCTCTCATTAATCATCATCAGAATCTCCATTATTCCTTCATCTCTGACCTGTGACCTGCTGCTCACCTCAACACAGACTTGTAGTGGTTGAATCTCATTAACCAGGAGGCTCTGAAGCATCTTTTTTTTAACCTTTCCTTTTGTTGTTGTATCTTTTCTCGCACAGTCATGTCATGGAAGACTTTCAGAAACATGACCAAGCTCTGACTGAAAATCTGCTGCAGCCCAAAAAGCATTTTCCCATAGAGTACGATGTAAACACAAACAGCTCATTGCCGGTTGTCAGAGCACCTACAGTTCCTTGTGCTTCACGCTCATGTGGTAGAAGAGTGTCGTGCATGTCCAATCCCTTTTCTTGCATTTAATTTGTAAGAAATATAAGAGTGTCGTGTTTAAATGTGAGAATACAGTATACCATAGACCAGCGGTGCCCAATACGTCGATCGCGATCTACCAGTCGATTGCCAAGGTCATGTGGGTAGATCGCCGTGTCTCGTCTCGGACTCGATCGTGTTTGGACTCGGTCTTGTCTCTCACTCAAGGTCTGACATTCAACAAGTGTGATCATATTTCATTACGGCCGCTGCTGTTGGTAATAAACTTGTAGCGGGGTGCAGGAGCGTGTGGGGCGTCTCCGTGCAGCCTGTGCGCTCATTTGAAACCCGCGGAGACTCTACGGCACATCACAAACACACACGCTCCCTATGCACGGCTCGTCTGCAACAGCGTGTGCCCTCGTGTACCAGCGTGCATCACAGGGCAGGTTCAACTTCCTAAACATCCTACCTGTCCATCTGCCTCACGTCAGCACGCCGCCCCTCGCCTTTTCACGCTCTCGCTCCTTCCTGCGTACAGCCAACACAAGCCCCTCCCACAGTGCGGCTGATTAGAAGAGCAAAACCAAACGTGAAGCAAAAACCAGTCTAAATTTGTGTTCCAGTGTTGGCACAAAGCAGGTCTACAGCATAGAGCGGATCTACAGAACAGACCTACTGCCACATTTGGCTGAAGTTTCTCTGACAAAAGTGCACAAATGCATCTGTGTTTGTCACGATGTGCGTTTGGTTTGGTAAATGTTTACTTTAAAAAACAGGTTTAAAAATCTTATCTACTTCCTTCACTTTTTTCACAGTTTTGTGTAAAGTGCCAGAGGAAGTTCTCTTAAAGAAGGGATTCTCAAACTGTGGGTGAGGGTCCAAAAAGGGGCACAGAGTAAGCTAAAGATGTTCATTTTGTCTTCTTATATAGTTTAACTTCTTGGGTTCTTTTTACCAGTTCTGAAGATGGCTTGCCGCTAGCAGCCGAAACATGTTAACAAGGTAAATACACTTTACTGCATTGTCTTTAAAAAGAACCCAAGAAGTTAAAGGGGCACAGAGTGTTTCAGTGCAGTTTGCTTGGCTTTGTATTAGGTAGATCATTTTGGCTTGGTCATTTTGTAAGTCGCTCGCATGCTGAAAAAGTGTGAGCACCCCTGACATAGACTGTGTAAAGAAATGGACATAGCTAACTCCAATTTACCTTGACTTGAAAAACCGTCGCCCCTCTCTCTGTAACTGCTGATTTCAGGCACTTCTTTTTGGTCTTAAAATGTTCATATTAACTCACTCTACATGATCTTGATGTCTTTATTTTGTTATTTTGTCCGTAAATCAATTCCTGTTCCTAATAGCGCACACTCCTCCAAATTTGCTCTGTAAGTGCAAGACTCGATGAGCTTCATTTGACTGGAGCCAAACAAACAAATATAATAATTGTCAGATATAAAGTTGACTACTTTGCGGATTTCACCTATTGTGGGTTATTTTTCGAACGCAACCCCTGTGATAAATGAGGGTCCACTGTATCAGATTAACCCACTCCTGTTCAATAAATAGTTTCAAAAATTAAAAAATGTTGTGGTTGCTGTACATTGATGACAAAACTTCTCAAACATTTACATATAGCAAAATAAATTACATGCTATGAATACAAAATATAATTTTAACCCAATTTATTCCTTTTTTTTTGTATTGTACTGTATTATGGTCGTACAAACTAATAATAATAATAATAAAGAAGTCACAGAAGTTTATCGTTTATGATCGTGTCAAAATAAGCAAAATGAGAATGAAGAAAGTATGGAGTGTTTTTAGGCCTGAGCCCCAGAGATTTTCAAAGGGCCTATTAGTATCGCAAAGCGAAGCTCCTAGTGGCCAGAAAGTGAAATGGCGCAACGTGACTCACCCGTAGTGACCAGGGACCCTTGCCATGATGTAGCAATGTGCCAGAGGTTTCCGAAAATGTATAGTTTAATCATCAATGTATAGAAAATTTGTGTGGAAAAATAAAATTTTATGTGTCATAGTGTCATGTTGTTTTACAAAGGTGCGGCGTTTGAGGGGTGTCACGTTTGCGGGGCACGGCGTAGGTGCATGCGAGGGCCGATCATCACCGCTTGAAGCTATATTTTTCCATTTATGGCCGTACAAACTAATAATAATGTTAGCGAATGCACAAAAGTTTATCATTTATGATCGTATAAAATAAGATATACACAGAATCTAGACACATACAGAATATACACAGGTTAAAATTGCAGGGGCAGTTTTGATGCCTCTAGTGTCACTTGAGGTGTAAAGATACGCAGGTATGCAGGGTCACCTACATACGTTTCTGTAGATCTATAGGTGAGTTTCATTGTTGACAAAAGTGCACGTTGCATGCTGGGAATTATTTTGGTCGGCAGCAAGAAACACTAATTCAACATGACGGACGGAGCGAGAAAGCACGTAAAGGGTATTGATCCCGGTTATTTATCCACTCTAACGGCAGAGGACCCAAGACCATTTGACCAGAAATTGGTCATAAGCATCGATGGACGAAAAATCACCCTTTTCAACCCCTACAAAAGCCTGGACCAAACCAAATTTCTGGTCAGAATCGCCAACTACCTGGACAAATATTCACTTCGTCGATATCCACAATGACTTGGTGGAAACTCCTGGGCCATTCACAGCAGAAAAGATGAAAACCTCCAAGAGTCTCGATGTGTTGTTGAACTTGTTGGAGTCCACGGTTTGTTAGGATCTTCTACGTTTGCTCTGCGAATGTTTGAAAGCCGTTTAATTCACCGTTAGTGGTTCTTTTCACTCGGAATACGAAAAAGACATTTTCCTTCTTCCGTGCTCCTATTTGTGCATCCGATGATGCAGCAGGAATTTACCATTATCGGGGATAAATACACGAGGTGTATTGACCGCTATCATGTTTCTTGCCTCCGACCAAAATATTTCTCAGCATGCAACGTGGGCTTTTAATAACAATGACGTCAGCCGAAACTCGCCTATTACGTGGCCAGGAGAACCATGCCATGTGAGATGTGTGGTCTGGAACCATTCTTCCAGATTTAAGTTGGCTCTGATTGACAGGTGCATTAACCAATCAGAGAGATGCATAGTCTATTAGTATCAAAACAAAGAGGGCGTCTGTCACGTAAAAAAAAAAAACGGAGAATAAATAAGAAGCTGCTAAGAAACAGTGAATTCCAGGTTGAGCTTGGTTTATGCATCCATGACTCTCCATCTGGTTTCATCTTGGGAGTGTACTTATGTTCCCATAGTTGTATGTTCCCAAAGCCTTTCTTGCATTTAAAATATTTTTTAAACAAAGT